ACAAATTCCCCCCAGATGCTATTTTTAGCTCAAAAAGCCGGACATGTCCGGGGGAATCCGGACGAATGGTAACCCTAGAACAGAGGTTCTGACCCATCTTTATAAAGAATTGCAGAAGAAACAACACTGCTGAGCTTCTCCGCTGGGGTTAAGGATCAGTGCCACCTTGCAGGCCGTAGTCTATCAATACGCTTTCCTCCCTGCCTCCACACTGGTGCCTATCACTATAGATGCTCCTTCCTGCTAGGAGACGGGCACACCGTCATCAGATGCCTTGGAACTGTGTTGTGGCAGTCAGGGCTAGCTTGTTTGTACTGCGTACAGCAGAGGGCATCGCAGCCCCTCAAAACAAGCCCATCTGTTCACAGCTCAGCCCCCCCCAATACCTGGGGGCATCAGTTTGAGTCACAGCTGCCATTAGCTTCCAAGCTGTCCCTGACTGGCCTGGTTGAGATCATGAGACTATTTCAGTGACAGGCAGAAAACAGCGCCAGGGCAGATGACTTATTTATATAGCCCCTATTACGCTGGCATCCAAGTGTCTTTATCCTCCCAGCACCCACGGGAGGAAGGAAAGAGCTATGACCACCCTAATACAGAGAGGGAACCGATGCAGAGAGATTAAGGCCTGAATGCACGAGAGGCGTTAGGTACCTGGGAGAAACCACTGCGATACACAAAGCCTGAGTTAGGCACCTACGCTCCTCTGCAATGAGTGGGGAGAGATGGGCGCCTGTGACCCCAACCACAAACCCAGCATGATCGGCAGGGAGCCGCCTACGGTAGCCAATGGGAGGTGCTGACCAGGGGGCGTGTGCCCAGGATGTGGGAGATCAGGATCCAGACCCCCTGCACCATTGACTCTAGTTATCCACAGTGCAACAGGAGAGATTGAGGGATTTCCCCACATCAGAATATGCCATCGCCCAATGGTTAGAGCACTCCCTGTTCAAATCCCTTCTCCGACTCAGGTGGAGGGGGGACTTGAACCAAGGTCTCCACATCCGAGGTGAGCACCCTAACCACTGGGCTAAAAGTTCAAGGGATACTGTTGTCATCCTGGGCCCCGCCCCCTCCCCACTTGCCTGAGGGGCCTGATCTAGGAGGAGACCTCTCAGCATCCCTACCGGATCAGGCCCCTGTGCCAATGAGGTGGCTGAATGCCCCTGGTTTGTGAATCGCTCTGGGGCTTAGGTGGAGATAAGCACCTAGACCCCCTGGGGAAGCAGCAGTGCGCATGCTCAGAGACAAACACAGGCGGTGAGGGAACTTGTATTGCAAAAAAAAAGAGACAGACACTTAGGCCCCTACAGGATTTCAGCAGGAGTTTTGTGCATTACAGTAGTCGTGGAACTGGGGTTTGGGCACCTATCTTCTTTTTCACATTCGGCCCTAAGTGACTTGCTCAAGGTCACACATGGAATCTGTAGCAGAGCAGGAATTGAACCGATATCTCCTGATTCTAGGGTGACCAGATGTCCCGGTTTTATAGGGACAGTCCTGATATTTGGGCCTTTTTTTTTTTTTAAATTTATGGGCTCCTATTACACCCCTCCCCACCCACCCCATCCCGATTTTTCACACTTGCTGTCTGGTCACCCTACCTGATTCCCTGGCAGTGGTTTGACCACTAGACTACCCTTCCTCTCTGTGCTGGGTTAGTGCTAACGTGCAAACCGCAGCAGAACAATCCTCACTTAGTCACTAAATACTTAGTGATTTTGTCCTCCCTCCGTATGTCAGGTGAGGGATCAGGGAAATTATTCTCCTTGAAGGCAAAACATCTCCTTGGAAACTCGTGAAAAGCCCTTTCTGCTCTTTCGCAGTTTTGACCATGATCCACAGCAGCCTCCTCGATTTCAAATTCATGATCCGGAGGATTACTGGGAAAAGTGCCCTCATTTCCTACAATGCGTATGGATGCCACTGTGGACTGGGTGGGAGAGGGCAGCCTCTGGATAAGACAGACTGGTAAGCTTTGGTTCAGGTCAATGCTGCTGGTATCAATACTAATTTTAGCAATGCACTGATTTAGTTAGCTGGGCATCTAAATCCTAGGATTGTAATTGCACTAAGCCCTTTAGCACTCTGGGGCAGAACGTCTCAACTCTCCAGCTTATGTGAGAATGGAAACTCCTTTGTAGTCAAGGCATGCTGGGGTGAGTCATCCCCAGAATCTTAAAAGGGCCAATAGAACTGTGTGATTAGTAGTAATAGTATTTATTTGTATTATACCACAATGGGGTCCTGGCTCAGGATAGGCTCTTTTGTGCTAGGAGCTGTACATACACAGAACAAAGACAGGCCCTACCCTAGGGAGTTTTCAATCTAATGGATTTTTTGGTTCAGTCTGCCACCACAAAACAACCAACCAACCATTTCAGTCCACCTCCAGAACAAACTTTAATGTTTTGGCAAATCAAAAAGTTGCTTTAGGTTGAACTAAATGTCTTGTTTAGATTTGATTTTTGACATGTTAGGGTTTTTTAAATTAAAATGGAAGGACATTTTAAAACAGTTATGAATCAAAAATCAGAACAGTTCATTTTGAAGTGAAATGTTGCAATTTTTCCTAAATAGTATTGAAGGCTCCACCCCCAACCAAAACTATTCAGCAAATTCAACACAAAGTCACAAAAATGTTCCAGTCAACCCACATCTGCATTTTTTGCTGAAAAAAAAAAAGTTTTGTTCAAAAAGTTTCACCCAGCTTTGGACAGGAACTGGATTTGAGGCACAGAGCAGCACTAAGAATATCACTTGGGATAAACATCTGAGCTCTTGGGTGTTTTTCCAAACCAAGCCCAAACTCTGTTCCTTGGAAGGCTCACTCACACTCTCCCCTCTAGTAGTGGTGAT